GCGTGGATGAAGCGATCGTTCGACGCGTACATGCTCATCGTGCAAGCGGTTGGCGGACGACAACTTGACCACATCAAGGACCTCTTGGGTGATCCAGAGTGTGGCCCCAAGGCTTGGAGGAAGCTTCTGGATGTGCAATCACCGACACATGCTACCGGCATCGTGCTACTCGCGCGGCGGCTGCGCGACATCAAGTTCGTTGATGGAGAGCCGATGCAACCGGTGTTGGATGAGATGCGGGACATCTTCACGAAGCTCCAAGGAGGCGGTGTGGTGTACCCGGAGCTCGTGCAATGCGTGGAGATCGTGATACGGCTGCCGGAGTTGTGGTCTGCCCTAGCGATCAACCTCAACTCCCAACAACCCCAATGGAGCGTGGATTACATTCGCGCGCGCATCCCGGAGGAGGACTTGCGGCGGCGGAGTGTGGAGCGCTCGGAGGAGGGGGCTGGCTATGGAGTTGGAGGTGGAAAGAGTGGCTTCAAGAAGAAGTGGAAGGGCAAAAACAAGGACAACCCTAAGGAGGATGGCGGCGGGGGTCAAGGGGAGGTGTGCTTCTACTGCAAGAAGCGCGGACATCGTTGGCGGAAGTGCTACCAACGACCCAAGGATTGGACCCCGCCTTCATCGAGCAACCTGCATGGTGGCAAGAGGAGTGGGGGAGTCATGGGAGCTAGTGGTGAGGAGAAGGAGGAGGAGAAAGGCGGCAAATCTGAGGAGCGGAAGGCCGGGTTCTTCTTTTTTGTGAACGAAGGCGCAACCGACCTCGCTATGGCTGCCAAGGTTCTCCTACACCCCCTCACCCATTGGGTGATTGACTCGGGAAGCTCCTGGCACATGACTCCTCGTGCGGACCTACTCGATGAGATTCAGCCCGCACCTATCTCTACGGTCACATCTGCGACGGGCGCCAAGGCCAAGGTCATGGGCATAGGATGCGCCAAGTTCATGGGAGCGGATGGAGAGCTCGTGGGGCTGAAAAATGTGCTGTGGGTGCCGGACTTGTGCGCGAACCTGATTTCTACCGGCCGGTTGGGAGATGCGGGTGTGAACACCGAGACGATTGGCTTGGAGCGCTATCGTGCCTACAACGATGAGCACCTCATTTGGGACCTGCAGTGGAAGGGAGATGTCCACAAGCGGATGTGGCAGATCCCGGTCCTCCCTTGGCGGAAATCGGGCAAGGCGGCAGCGGCGGCATCTATGGAGGAGAGTGTCACCGAAGAGGAGCAGCAAGGTGTGCAAGGAGAGGAGCTGATTGGAGGAAGCGCGGCGGTGAAGGCGTCGGCTACCTCGGGCCAAGCGGATTGGGAGACTTGGCATCGGCGGCTCGCACACGTGGCTGTTTCAACACTGGAGGTGATGCATAAGGAGAAGTGCGTGCATGGGCTGCAACTGCAAGGAGATGGCGCTCACTATGGCAGCTACGAGGCGTGCATGCAAAACAAGTTTGCGCGGTTCCCGTTTCCACGTGCAGAGGGATCAGCGAAGGCGCCGCTGGAGGTGGTGCACATGGACCTGGTGGGTCCTATGAGGACTGAGGGGACTGGGGGAGTGCTGTACTTCCTTACCATGGTGGACGAATGGAGTCGTTTCACGTGGGCGCGTCCCTTGTCCAAGAAGAGCGATGCTGCAGCGGCGATCAAGGAGGATTGGTTGCCGATGGTGGAGCGGCAAGCGATGCGGCTGGTGAAGGTGCTGAGGAGCGACTGAGGTGGAGAGTTCCTTGGAGCGGAATTCACCAAGTTCCTCAAGAGAAATGGCATCCGGCATCAGTTGACCTGCCCTGGAACACCGCAGCAGAACGGCATTGCTGAGCGTGCCAACCGGACCATTGGCGAGGCGGCTAAGACCTTGTTGGGGGCTGCTGGGATGCCCTACAAGTTCTGGCCTGATGCCGTTCGCCATGTCATCATGGTCAAGAACAGGGTCTTGACTCATGTTGGCGACAAGCATTGGGTGCCGTACGAGCGTTGGCTTGGGAAGAAGCCATCCATTGACATGCTGCGGGTATGGGGCTGCATGGGGCTTGTGATGGTGCCTAAGGAGCAGAGGCACAAGCTGGAAGTTGCTGTTGTGTGGGCTGTCCATCTTGGGATGGCTCCTGACTCGAAGGGGTGGCTGATGTGGGACCCCAAGAGCAAGAGGACGCTGGTCAGTCGTGACGTCAAGTTTGTGGAGGACGTCATGTACAAGGATTGGCAGCAGCAGCAGCAGGTGCAGATTGGCTTGCGTTTGCAGGAGATTGAGCGGTCTGCAGTGGAGGAGGTTTAGCTGCACCTTGAGGATCTCCCTGGGTCAGAGCTGACCAGTGACCACAGTGGCGATGGTGAGCAGCAAGTTTCTGGTCCTGCTGCGGAGGAGGGGTTGGAGGATGAGTCGGCACGTGTGGACTCACCATCTCAGCCCGAGCCTGCAACAAACGCCAAGGTCACCAAGAGGAGTGTGCAGAGAGGAGCTTCACCACATGGGCAGCAGATTGCAACCCGCGAGAAGAGAGTGGCAGCAGCACCCTCAAGGCTGAAGTATAGCCAAATGGGAGGACCCAAGCAAGGTGCCATGGCGGTTCAGGCGGATGAGGGAGAGGATGAGGAGATGGCGTTCTGTTTCTTCACACCCTTGTCTGGAGAACCAGCCACAGTGGAGGAGGCACTGAGTGGACCCCAAAAGGAGGAGTGGAAGGCTGCCATGGATGCGGAGTTCAATAGTCTCATTGAGAATGGGACTTGGGAGCTTGTTGAGTTACCCGAGGGGCGACGGCCGATCAGCAGCAAGTGGGTCTTCAAGGTGAAGAGTGGTGCTGATGGTGCGTTGGAGCGGTTCAAGAGCCGCTTGGTCGCCAAGGGGTTTCAGCAGAAGGAGAAGGTCGACTTCAGGGAGATCTTCGCTCCCGTTGCTAAGCCAGTGACATTGAGGACTTTGATGGCTGGCGCAGCTGTGAAGGGATGGCACGTGAAGCAGATGGATATCACCACTGCGTTCCTCAATGGAATACTGCTGGAGGATATCTACATGGCGCAGCCCGACGGCTATGAGGATGGGACCAGCCGGGTGTGCAAGCTTAAGAAGGCCATCTATGGCCTTAAGCAAGCGCCCAGGTGTTGGTACGAGAAGCTGGAGGAGGTGCTGCTGAGTGGAGGCTTCAAGACGTCCCAGGCGGATCACAGCTTGTTTCTGCTTGGAGAGGGGGAGCAGCTGCTTTTGCTGCTGGTGTATGTCGATGACATACTGCTGTTCTCACCTTCCATGGAGCAGATTGAGAGGACACAGAAGCTGCTGATGGACAACTTCAAGTGCAAGATGCTGGGGGATGTCCACTACTACTTAGGGCTGCAGATTGAGAGGGATGTTGAGAGGAGGTGGCTGAAGGTGCATCAGTCACACTACATCTCTGGTGTCATGGAGCGGTATGGTGTGACTGGGGGTCGCACTGTGATGACACCGTTCCCTGCAGGCTTCAAATTGAAGAAGGCAGCTGAGGAGGATGATGTACTTGAGGATGAGCAGCAGAATGAGTACCAGTCACTCATTGGGAGTGTGATGTATGCAGCTGTGCATACGCGACCTAATGCTTCGTTCGGAGTGGGGCAGCTGGCCAGAGTTGTGCAACGGCCCACTGTGGAGCAGTTGGAGGTGGCAAAGCGCTTGGTGCGCTACCTTGGATCAACGGCATCTGCTGGTGTTCAGTTTTCAGCTGGCGGCCAGCTGAAACAGATTGGAGCAGATGGGGTCACGCTTGGTACCTTGCGACGAGGCGGGGGCGACGCGCGGGTCCCGTAGGGGCGTCGCGACGAGGCGGAGGGGCGACGCGCGGGTCCCGCAAGGGCGTCGCGACGAGGCAGGGGCGACGCTTCGCGACGAGGCAGAGGCAGGGCGACGCATCGCGGGGTCCAGGGGCCGCGCCGCGGGGTCCAGGGGCGGCTGCGCGGGTGCAGGGCAGGGACGGCTGCTCCAGGGGCTAGGGGCGGCTGCTGCAGGGGCGGCTGGTCCAGGGGCCAGGGGCGGCTGTTGCACGAGCGCTGCTCCAGGTGCCAGGGGCGGCTGCTGCAGTGGCGGCTGCTCCAGTGGCCAGGGGCGCGGGAAGGCAGGCGCTCAAGGGCGCGGGTAGGCAGGCGCTCGAGGGCGCGGGAAGGCAGGCGCTCGAGGGCGCGGGTAGGCAGGCGCTCGAGGGCACGGGTAGTCAAGCGCAAGGCACCTGACAGGACAGGGCAGAAAAAAAGTTTGTGGTGGGCCCTAAAAAAACGGTCCCACTAGGGAACCTGCTCTGGAACCATGTGAGAATTACAGAACAAGGAATGACTGAACTAGCAAGGAGATGGGTACAAGTAGGAAAACCTAGCAGTGTTGTACCCCATATAGTCTACCCCACTACAGCCTACACAGACTATGTCATACATGTTTGACACGCCGCGCGCGCCCGGGTGGCGCGCAGGGCTGACGTTTCAAATTAGGCCTCTCTGAATCCGGGAAAAAAATTCCCACAGAAAAAAATCACCCTAATTGCTCTGTGTTGGGAAGTTATGTAGTCTGATTGCTCAGGGTTGAGAAGTCAGGATCAGGGTTAGTAACGCGCTGTGCGTTATCGAAACTTGGCATGGTTCGGATATTTAGAAGATCTTGTGTGGATTTGATGACCAATCAAATTGGACGACCGTTCGTTCTTCAGATATCTGGTTGCGCACTGTATGTGACTGGTGATTTGGACCCGAGTTGACTGGTCACATCACAACACCAGCGTCATACTGTAGCAAATTCGTGTTGACAAAGTGCATTCGCGCCGTACAGTACAGAGCAACAGATTCGCCCGATCGCAGAGAAATGGCCCTGGCACAACAGCCGCTGTCAGAGCACAACCATTTCGACCAATCACAGCAACATATATCTTTTTTTTTTTTTTTTTTTGATGCAAGGATACACTATAAGTGCAACAATACATCGGCAGTCGTAACTGGAGCTGATGGGCCTAGGGGGATCGCTCCCTCCGTACCCATCCTGATCCTCTAAGGGGGACGGAAAGCAGCCCTCGGGTCCGACCAGATGGCCATGAAGCCCTTGGACCACGTGGCTGGTTGAGCTGAGTTGTCCATGATACGGCCCAAAACCCGGCACTCGTCATCATCCAGACCAGGACGAATGGCACCGAGCCTCTTAGACACTGCCTTAGCACGCTTGTAGATCCTGACATGCAGCTGAAAGGACGCCGCAATCCTCCGCAGAGCCCTCCTCGCCCGGAATTTACTGCGCTCGAAAACTGCGTCACACCTTTCAACCCAAATTCGGTGGAACACGATTGCTGTGATCGTAGCCTCGGGGAATCCCGAAGCTGTCCCCTCCTTCCTGAAGACCACGTCACCCAGAGATTCAATTTTCCGATGCGGATTTAACATACGGAGCGCCTTCAACAGTGCCCGAACCACCGGCTGAATGCGCGAGCAGAGAAACAGTCCATGTTCCAGCGTCTCTTTCTCCCCGCAGTGGGGGCAGGCGACCCCAGCGCCCAGAAAATGTAACCGTTCCCCCACCTGCAGGTTCCGGCTGTGGATCCGGAGCATCACGTCACGTGCACGATTCGGAAGAGCAGGCGAGTCCCTTACCCCGATCACCCTCCCCAAGTCAATCGGACGGCCGAGGGATTCCTCCCACGTGCTCTGCTGCTTTGGTTTTCCGCCAAACTGCCTGAAACCCTCCTTGAGTTGCTTCAGCTGCGCTGGCCGATCCCCCTCCCAGATGGGGGAGCACAACAATCTTGCCCTGGGACCACCCGCAGGACCAAGCAGCCACCCCTCCCTGACCACAGCAGGCACCACCTCATGCGGCAGAAAGTTGTGCTTCCTCTCCTCTGCTTCCTCCAAGACCCCCCGGAAGCATCTGATGGCACGGCAGACGAGGGTTTCGCCCTCTACACACTCAATCCTCCAGACACCGTAACTCGTCCCCGCCTTGAGCACGAACTTAGAAACAGTGAGCACCATGCGCGCCGTGACAGGCGCCATAAGCATCTGCTTCCACTCGTTTGGAGCCGCATCAAAAATCCTCATCGCCAGCTTCGCTCCATCTGACCCACCGAAAGCCCGCTCGAGCTCCTGAGGGCTTTTCAGAGCCCTCGAGCCATCCACGGCGATTTTGATGAAGTCGCCCATCACCGAGCGCTTCAGCGGCTTAGCCGCCTTCTGCCGACCCGCGGGGGACTTCCCATTCAAAAGCAGACAGCGATTAAACAGTAGCATCTCTTGCTCCACCTCCCACACCGACGAGGCCTTGATGCAAGAAGGAAAACTGGACTCCAGGAATAATTCACACGTCCGCTTCCACCTCTCACACCGACCTGCCCACTGCTTCATCAGCCCCGCGTGAGCCCAAAAAACCTGCAGGTCCGGAACATCCAGAGCCGTGAGCGCGAGGTCGGCACGCAGACCCAGTGGTTGTGATGCCAGTAGCGCTATCCTCCTGGCCGCCAGGCCACCCAGTTCAGCACACGGGTCCCGGACACCGAGCCCGCCTTCCCCTCTCGCTTTGAACAGCAACTCCTGGCTCCAGAGAGCAAAATGCTTCCCTGCCGTTGAATGGTTGCCCGTGACGAAATTATGCAGCAGCTTCACCAGCTTCGCCCAGATTTCCGCAGGAGGAGGGTAAACCTGCGCCTGAAAGGCGAGGATTGGATTAATGTACCCGTTAACCACCGCGACCCTGCCGGACGTCGTCAGGTAATGTATTTGCCATTTCACCAGCTCCGCCGCTGCCCGTGACAGAGTAATTTCCCAAGTCACCGACGCGTCACCCGAGGGTGAGATCCACACCCCTAGAACCCTTTCCGCTTCGTTTGATCGCACCCATTTGAAACCTGATGACTTGTCCAGTTTCTTGAGCAGGTTCTTCCCCAGGGGAAGGAGGGCAGACTTGTCGATATTCACGCGAAGCCCCGACTTATCACCAAACTCATCCAGCAGCTTCACCGCCCGGCCAATCTGCCTTTTCCCTTGGAGCACCAACGTGGTGTCATCGGCATACCCAAGGTACGCAAGGCGATCACCGAACGGATTACTTATACCCAACTTCCTCCTTATTGCTTCCTGGCAGAGAGGCTCCACCGCGCAGAGGAAAAGGTAGGGCGCCAGCGGACAGCCCTGTCGCACCCCCTTCTTAACCGCCACCGGCTCCCCCAGCCAGCCGTTCAGCAGCAGTCTCGTCGTCGATCCTGCATGGAGACCCTCGCACCACCTCACGAAATTCCGCGGGAAACCCATCCTCTCCATCGTGCCGAAGAGGTATTCACGAGAAACTGAATCGAAGGCCTTCTGGAAATCTACCAGAAGTAAATACCAATCCGCGTTTTTGCACTTCGCCGCATCGACGATGTCCGCGATCAGTGAGACACCGTCCGCCAGCCTTCTTCCCGGTAAGAGCCCGTATTGCTCCTCTGAAATGACCTTGTGCAGCACTTTCCGCATCCTGTTTGCCAATACTCGCGCTACCAGCTTGTACGTGCTGTTGAGCAGCGTGATCGGCCGGTAGTTCTGCACCTGGTCCTTCGCGCCTTTCTTGTGCAGCAGGACAGTGACCGCCTCCAAAGCCGCGGGAGGAAGAACGGCCGTTTCCTCGAAACGCTTCGCGAAACCGAGCACATCACCCCCCAGCGAGTCCCAATGCTGACTGAAGAACTCCTTCGGGATTCCGTCAGCACCGGGGGACTTGCCTTTCGCCATACTGTCAAGAGCCTCCTTCACCTCCGCTTCTGACCAGTCTTCCACCAGCAGCTGCGATTGCTCTTCACCCAACTTCCTGTCCGGGGCAACCGTCCAGAAGGTACTGTCCGTGGTTGAGGTAGGCTCTGAGAACAGCTCCGTGTAAAACTCTGAGGCAGCTTCCAGTATCCCTCTTGAGTCCTTACGCACCGTTCCCTTCCATTGCAATGATGTAATCATGGTCCTCTCCTTCCGCGTTTTAACCTTTACAGACATGAGCTTGCCAGGCAACTCTCCCTCCCGCAGCTCCTTAACCCCCGCCATGAGAGAGACCCTCTCCTGCTCGGAGGCAAGATACGCCGCTAACTGAGACTCCTTGACCTTCAACTCCTCCTTCCGGACGGAGCAAGAAGGGTGCCTCATCACCTCCTGCTGTAACCTCGCCACCGCAGCGTCCAGGTGAGCAAGGGTAGCCTTGACCCGTTTCCGCTCCTCGGTAGAGTACTTCCTTAACGCCATGTTCATTTCCCTCATGAGCGCAGTGAAGTCTCCCGACCCCGCTTTTCCATGCTTCTCTCGAACCTTCGCAACCGCTTTCGCTGCACCTGGTCTACCAATCTCCACCGCCTTGCACCTCCATATTCCAGGCCCCATACATAGCCGCAGGCTGATCTTGAATGTCACCTTCACACCAAACCAGTGATCAGAGAGGCCCTTCAGCAGCCGGCAGTGCGACGCACCAGAAAGTGACGGCAGCAGAGACGCTGAGACGAGAGCTCGATCAATGCGTGAGCTGGTCTTAGCAGATTTGGACAGAAACGTGAACTCCTTCAGCACCGGATTCATCCAGCGAAAAGCGTCGGTGAGACAGTGCGCTGAACAGATCCGCAACACACTGTTATTTTCCCCGGACGATCCCGCTCCCGACGATCTGTCCAGGATTGGATCCTCCACCATGTTGAGGTCCCCGACCAAAACAAAATTTTTCTTCCCCACCGAGTGCGCCATAAACGGGGTCAGCACTCCGCCATAGAAAGACCGACGCCTGCAGGCCTTCGCCGGGAAGTAAGCGGCCAAGATTGAGCAACAGGAGGAGTCCCACTGGACATCGGCCTGAAGCAGTCAGCCTGAATCATGCGCGACAATGTTAGTGAAACTGAGAGACTTGTTAAAACTCAAAATAGCTACTCCCCCTGCCTTCCCCGCAGGACCAACGGCGTGACAGTGAGGAGCCTTAAGCTTCTTCCAGAAGTCATGATCTGCACCAATGCGTGTGTCGATTAAAACGAAGATGTCGGGTGGCTTCTTTAACCACGCCTTCAGGTGTTTTTGTTTCCCCCTGCTCCCGAGCCCGTTGACGTTGAGCTCGCATATTGACAGGTAAGAAGCCTTATTCATTGGGAAACCGCTGAGAAGCCCCAAGCATCCACGGGCTGAGTGAGACACAAGCAACAGGCTCATATAAGGCAAGTACAGACTCGAGTGACCCTATCATACAGACACCTTCCCTCCATAGCCCCTCTACACCCCATAATCCTTCTTCAGATGCTTGAGATTGATCTTCCCCTTCAGCAAGCGGAGCGACTCCCCCCCTTTCGGGGCCCCATGACGGTGCCGCTGGGACAACGCGTGATGAGCAGCCTGCCCGAACGACGAACCATGAGCTTTGTCGCAGCTGTCTTGAAGACAGACCCACTCCTCCCGATTGCCGCTGGTGGAGATCAGCACCAGGGACGGGTCCTTGAGAATAATCTTGGTTGTATCTGATGCAGTGGTCGCAGCAGCTACGGAGCAACGATGTGAGTACTCGGGGAAAAACGTAAAGGGAAAACGACAGCGAGAAGGTAGGAACTCCAGCATCAACAGCGCGAGCGGCACGACTACCATTCAGCTCATGGACCCTCCCAACGGTAAGGTGCCATTTGGTGATGTTGTTCTGGCGCTCGACGACGAAATCGTTGTGGTTGTGAATCGAATGATGACCTCCGCACAGGCTGCACTTCAAAGACGGGTAGTGAATCAGCAGAATCTCCTCCTTGTTAAGCGGGTTTTCGATGAAGTGTTTCCAGCGGTACAAATCCCCCTCGTGTGCAAACACCAGCCCTTTGACCCGATCCATGTCCAGGCCGGTTACCGAGTTGACCGCGCGATGAAAGCACAGTCCCTCCTTGAACACCGACTTCTTCTTCTTCTTGAGCGGAGCCATCAGCATTTCATGCAGCATGGCAGGTGAAATCTCGGCGGGGACGTCCTTGAAATATAACTCAATCACCGCCGGATTCGTCGCCTTCTGTCTGGCGAAAGCGGGATCCTCCGGGTATTGCCAGTCAAAGGTAACGTAAGTACCATTCTTGCACTTATGCTCCACCTGATTACGCCACACAAAGTTAGCATCAGATGCCTTATCAAAAGTGACTTGCATGCGACCTTAGTAGTTCTTGTACAGGAAAACAGACGACAGCTGCTGGTATGTCGTGGTGGTCTGAGCTCCGTCTGACAGCTCATCCTTCCAGATTCCCACCAACCCCTTGATCGTGGCCTGTGTGCGAGGCACTTCCGGCAGGAACTCCTCAGGGATCAGCAGCGTGATCGGAAAGCGGGAGCGTGACGCAATCACACCCTTAGACGCATCCTCAACCTCCTCGTCAGAGTCATAAGCAATGAGCCCGTCGTCCTCATCATTCAGCAGGTGAGAAACCCCCGATGGACCCGAGCCGTCATCAAGAGCAACATGATTGTCATCGTCATCATCATCATGAGTCGCCTCTTTGCCCTCTGGAGCGTCAGTAACAGCATCCTTGAAAACAACTTTCTCCTTACCCTTCTTGCTTTCATTCGCAGCTTCCTCAATGCGAATGGCCGCGAGCTTCGCCGAAAGAGTCAGAGCTTCAGACTCATCAGGCTGAAAAGGGCCTTTGGATGCCTTTATGACGGTTGCAGACTTCTGCGGAAGCCTTGACATGGACTTCGGCTTAACTGGCGTCGTCGCCGGCGGAGCAAGAGAAGAAACAGAGGCCAGCGGTACAGCAGCGGTGGATGTAGCAGCAGCAGCCGCAGCAGCAGCGGTAGCCGCGGAGACAGCAGCAGGAGCAGCCTTCTTAACACGGGGAGCCATCGTGCTATGATGATAAAAAAACCACCAAAGCCAGTGATGTGCTGGAGAGATGTGAAATCTGAGCACGAACTTGTCGTCCTTTGTAGAAGTGATAATGCCTGCATGCTGAAGCCTGATTGTAGCCTTGAGAAAGGAGAGAAACCTTGGAAACTCCACATTGGAGACACCTCGCACGGAAATCCCGAAACCATGTCTTATGCTCGCCTTCAGGGTGATGGGACCAATGTTCTCTGTTTGAACATTTAAAAAATATCCACAGGTACCCTGAGAGAAGACGATCTCAATGGTTATGTTATTTGCGGGAATGTCGTACAATAGGTGGTACATTTGCGAGTTCCAGGGTCTCGGTAAAATCCATGGCTGCCTGGAGGCGGAGAGCAGAAGCAGAATCATTGCTGCATGGGACTTTTGGGCACACGTGGCTCCCTTCAGCAACATATATCTGGCATTGCAGATTCGGCCGATCTTGATGGTGGGTGGGCGTATCTAGACGAAATTTCTGAGAATTTTTGTTTCGATAAAGTGGGGGAAGGGGGATTCCGCACCTGGGGGGTGCTGCAATGCGATCAATCCGAAGGCGAGGTTATCGAGAGAAATTTTCGGAGAAACTTCCTCTCGTTAATGTCTCATTCGCGGGGTCCACAGAACTCGTACTCTGTAATGACAGAGTCCGTAAGAAGACTACTCTGAGCGTGTATACAAAATTTCAGGGCCCGCTAAAGCGTTAGTCTGAATGGATCAGTGTTCAAGAGGCGTAAATTCTGAAATTGCAGGGACCACAAGGTGAGAATTCTGAAATCACCCTGAAATCAGGGTAATTACCCTGATAAAATCAGCCCTTGGCGCGCGGCGGGCAAGAAACCGCCACGCGCCCCGAGCGCGTGGCGGGCAGAAAACCGCCGCGCGCCCCGAGCGCACGGCGGGAAGAGAAAACGCCGCGAGCGCTTGGCGCGCGGCAGTCAGGACAACAGCGGAAGCAGCAGGGTGGGCCCATCCGCAGGATCGACCCGCGAGGGTCGACCTCAGGCCCTCAGATATCAGCGTAAAACACGCTGATTAGGCTGATTTTGTAGCTGTGATTTTCGTTTTCCCTGGAAATTCAGCATATGCTTCAATTTTGCACTGAAATTTCAGTATAAACTACCTTGTCACACTGACCATTTTCCGTATTGCTGTAGAAGTAACACTGACGAATCAGTGTAGTGTCGTGAGTCACACTGAAACGGACTTGACCGATTCAGGGAGGGGGGGGGGGGGGGGGGGGAAGGGGGGGGGGGGGGGGGGGGTTTACGCGTGTGTATAGTATGTACCTGGCCCGGGATTCACGAGACCCTACCCACACACTTGGAGATGCCATGCGCTGTACAGCAGATCGCGTGCCGACGTGCTTTGCATCGCTGGAAGGAACTCTCACAGCGGCAAACTTTGAGTTGAATTGGTGATTCAACTTTGTTTTTCTTTTTTACACTGATGGTTCAGTCTACTTATGATTTTTACACTGGCAAAATCAGTATAAAAAAACCATGAACGCTGATTTGGACACCTGGGCGACCGGGGCACGCTGACCGATCAGCATACCCTCAAACCAATCTGAGGGCCTGGTCGACCTGCTCTGATAGCATGTTGAGATAGCAAGCAGGAATAAACAGCAGAAGAGGGATTGCACTAGCAACACATATGGTTTGACATATAGCAAACCCTAAATTGAGCTGTACTCACAGTAGAGTACTCAACTGCAGACTCTAGAATTATAGCATTCTGACAATGCGGGTGTTGGGAATATAAACGCATGACTTAGTGCGTTTCTGTAGTATCGAACCTCACCCGATACTGAAGCACAACAAAAGGGGTACGAAGTCGAAAGGGCGCGTACCACATCAAACCGCAACTGGAGGTTGCGAGCTGTAACCGCCTGGAGGTTACGTAACAGCAAGCGACGCTTCAGTGAACAATAACCGCCTCGATAGTCGAAGCGTTACGCGTCTCGATAAACACAACCGCTTCCTGTAATTTATCTTTCCTATATATTCCTGTATGCTCTTTGCTTTAATCAATTACTTGTTCTCACACACCAGCACAAGTACATTCACTCAAGTCTTCCGCTGTGCTACTCTAGCACCTACTAGCCTATTCTCTGCAAAGATCCTAAGGCTGAAATTCTCAGCCCAGCATGGTATGAGAGCAGTCAGAGAACAAGGCTCTCGTCACTAAGCCTCTCTCAGGCTACCAATCTGCAAGCAAACAAGAAGTTCAACCTTTATTCAAGAAAGGCAAGACATGGCAAGTGGCAAAGAAAGAAGGTCATCTACGGGATCTACTCTACCCCCGGTCTCCGAGCTGCAGACCGAAGGAGGAACAACGCCCGGATTAACACCGGAAGCGACGGAACAATCTACTCAGGCGCCAGTAGCGCCGCCAAAAAACTTCGACCCAAGCTTAATGGAGAAATTCTTCAACTTCATGTCGCAGCAGCAGTCCTCACAACCTGCAAACAGCAACAGCGTAAACAACGGAGCGACACCAATGAGTATTGACAACTCATCGTTCGGACGACATAATCAACAAACACCAAACTCAGTCTCACCTGGTTCCTTCACGTTTATGCCGCCTCGCCATCCAGCGATTCCTCTTCCCGCCATCAAACGAGACGGCGAAGAAGTCCTGCAAGTACAAGCACAGTTCAACAACATCCTGCGACTGCACACATCCACACCATTCAACGGGAAAGACTTCTATTCTTGGAGTTTCGAGTTTGAACTCCTGATGGAAGGCGCGAATCTTGGATTCTTCAACGCTACCTGGCCATATCCACACAACGGCGAAGACAAAGACAAGGAAAATTATACTTATCACTCTCTGATGGCCTACAACGTACTTCTTCGAAATTTGTCGCCGAACGAGCAGCAAAGCATCCGCGTCTACCGGAACTACGCAAACTCCGCGGAACTCGCTTACCAGCATCTGCGAAGCATTCATCAAGCATCCGACAGCGTTACACAAAGCAGACTCATGGCACAACTGACAACAGCTCAAATGCAACCTGGAGAAAAGGCCATGCCTTACATCAATCGTTGTCAAGGACTACGCGACAGACTCATTCGCTGCGGAGGAAACTTATCTGAAGAAGCGTTTGTAACCGTCGTTCTCGCCGGCCTTGGACCTCAATGGCGCACCACCCGTTCACTTCTTCGCGCTCACGGTCGACTCTCCGAGATGCATCTCTGCGCCGAACTTCACGCCGAGCAGTAGGAAATGGACCTGTTCGAAGAACGCAACAACAAAAGACATCATCAACCAGTCGTTCTTTACACCAATCAACAACAGCCAAGTTACCAAAATCGAAGACATGTACCTCCTTACTGTCATCTGTGTCAGACATCAGGACATACATGCTTCAACTGCCCTCAGCAGCAACGACAACCAGCATCATTCTCTCGTCATCTGCGACCAGCGCCTCCTCATATCGCGTCAACTCAACAACGTCCCGCGACCGCCTCAACGACTACTTCAACGCGACCATCAACCTCCACTTCGGGACCTGCACAGACACCAAGAATCGTCGCCATGGCACGAACAACAGAGTCAAACATCGACTCGTGCATTACAAGTTCACCACCGACTTACAGTCCCGACGAGCGACCGTCACCGCCACCGTCATCCCTTAATGTGAATCCAACGTATGCCGCCATCGCAAATAGCGCACCCACCGGACCCGACACATGGTTCTTGGACAGCTGTTGTGGTCACCATATGTGTTCTTCATCACGGTATCTTCAACGTGAACGACGTCTTCCGCGAGATGTCATCATTACCGTCGCCAACAACGAAACCCTGCGCACCAACAAACAAGGAATCGTGGAGCTTCAATCGAATGAAACGAATGTCATTCTTCAATTAAACAAAGTGCTCGTCGTCGACAACCTTGGCTTTAACTTACTGAGCGTCAGCCAGCTCATGTCGAAAGGCATTCACCTGGAGTGTGACTCCGACGCCCGGGAAATTCGTCTTTACCACGGAAAAGGGGGGGTCTTCATCGGCCGCGCAATTCAACAAGCCGACGTCTTCGTTCTTGATTTCGTCCCCGACAAAGGCACCGCCGACAGCGACGGCATAGTCGCCTTCGCACCTTGGACGCACCCGCCAGATCTTGACCCGAACTTCAGTCCTGAAGGCTTCTGGTACTCCCGTACCATTCCCGAGGCTGAACGTACCAACGCGCTTGCCGTCCTGCAAACACAAGCAACACCCGAGTCAGTACCCGTCATCGAAACAACAACAACAGCCGAAACAGCACCAACAACCACCGAACCTGTCGTGGTGGAACCACCTTCCGAAACTCCACAGCCCGGTCCCTCCGTCGTGCCACCACCACCTCCCATCATCGACACGCCACCGACAGCCGCCCAACAGTTAACGCCAGCACCACGCGCCGTTCATCGAAGTGCAGCAACACACGCCGCCTTCTTCGCCAACGCAGACTTCTATCAACGCTCCGTCGGTCACAGTGCCTCCGAAGACATTTGGCATCAACGCCTTGGACATCCTGGAAACAAGACACTATATAACACAATACGAGCCGGAGTGTTAGACAAGAACGCTCTACTTCTTCCCAACGGACGCGAACTCGAACGAATACGCGGCACTTGCTTCATCTGTCCGGAAGCGGACTTGCCTCACCAACCGTTCCCGTCACATCACAACCCGAGCGCCCCCGTTTATCAACCACTCGAGAAAGTCTACAGCAACATCTTATACATACCTCGAACCGAAGGACGTGAAGATCTGAACTACGTCATCACCTTCATCGACGCCGCAACACGTTATGTCTGGCACGTTAACTTATCCTCACGAGACATGGCTCTAGAAGCCTTCACAGCCTGGCTACCTGTCGCTGAAAGAGAATCGGGAGTAAAACTGAAGAGTTTTCAGTCAGATGGAGCGATGGAATACCAGTCACACCGCTTCAAGCAGTTCTTGGCAGAAAGAGGCATCAAACGCCTCATCTCTCTCCCTTACGCTCACCAACAGCAGGGTGTGGCAGAAAGGATGAACAGGACCCTGCAGACAACCATGCGAAAGCTGCTACGTGGAACACGACTGCCCAACTCAGAATGGCCAGCAGCGATGGACCACGCTGTCCTCCTGCACAACTTGCTGTCCTCGTCTTCACTGCCCAACAACGCATCTCCGCACCTGTTGTGGACTGGGAAGCTGGGCAACACAAAAATGTTAAGAGTCTTTGGGTGTATGGTACAGTACCGCCCACACACTGCACGCGCAGGAAGATTTTCGCAACGTGCACAGTGGGGCCTACACCTCGGGCTGGCAAAACATTACGAAGCTTGGCGAATCTTCGACGTCCACACAAAGGAAACAGTATCAGCACGTGATGTTATCTTCTACGAGCGACTCACCCTCAACCATTACCAAGACAACATCGCACGCCATGTCGAACCCATCGGCGGATTTTCTGGCTCCCGAGCCTTCGCTTCACCCTCCGACGCTGCTGACTGGGAAGAAGAAAACGTCGACGGCGCCTCCGAAGCTGCTGGACCCCTTCCTTACTGCTCCGTCCCAATCCCCATGGACGACGAAAATCATCGCGACAGCGTCAATGCCGACGCCTACTACCATTTCGCCGACACTGGTTTGAGAAGAAGTAAACGAGAGAATGAGTGAACTATGAACGAGGTGAGTACAAATAGGAAACCCTAATTGGGTTGTACCCCCTATGGGATACCCCACTATAGCCTACACAAATAAGTAAGCTATAATGTTCTGACACACCCCCATAGGCAAAGTGGGGGAGAACAAGGGGTCACAAGACCAGTCAAGCAAAGCAAAGCAAAGCTCAGGGTGGATCACAAAGTCACCACACATTCCGAGCACAAGTTCAAAGGCCAGAAGGCCAATTCACATGCAAGATCATATATAGAGATATACAAGAGGCAAGCAAGCAAGAGCAAGAGTATATATAGGTAAAAGTACAAGCAAGGTCAAGAATTGAGCAAGTGAGGCAAGGCAGGCACAAGGCCCAGCTGCGTGCAGCAGCGCTGATGATCACAAGGCGCAAGTGCCTTGGTGAAGACATCAGCAGTGTTGGCCTCAGAAGCCACGTACGCAAGTCGCAGCTGTCCACGCTGCTGTAGCTCACGAGCAAGAAAGTAGCGGAGAGCAATGTGCTTTGTCCTGTGCTCGAGTCGCTGCTCTCGACACAAGGCCAGCATGGCCTTGTTGTCTACGTACAGGACTGGAGGAGAACGAGGCGGCTCTCCAAGGCCGGTCAGCAGGTAGGTGAGCCAGCGTAACTCCTGTGCAGCCATGGCCCCGGCGTAGATCTCAGCCTCACAACTGGAGCCGAGAACAGAATACGAGCGGGTAGCCCGCCACGAAACAGAGCCGGAACCAAGACTGAAGGTGTAACCCTGTGACGACCGCTGCGTAGCCTGGTCGTCAGCCCAAGAAGCGTCTGCGTGCCCAGTGAGGACCACTAGACTGCGCCCTCCAAGCACTAGCCCCATGCCCGACGTACTGCACAAGTAGCGCAACACCCTCTTCGCTGCAGCCATGTGCTCTGGTCGGTGTCTCCCAGGAGCAACATAATGTGCAAGAATGCTCAGAGGGTATGCAAGGTCAGGTCGTGTGCAGGTCATCAGGTACATGAGGCAGCCAACAAGCTCTGCATACGGGCCACTCGACTCTACGGACTCATCCGAAGGCAGAGCTGAGAGCGAGTGGCGAGTAGGGAGAGGAGTGGCCTGAGGCGAGGAGTACGTGAAGCCGAAGCGCTGAAGGACCTGCTGCACCATGTGTGACTGAGTCAGGGTAATGGTGCGGCGTGCTCTGTCCCGAGTGATCTGCAAGCCAAGGTAGCTGCGCAGTTCACCCAGGTCAGTGCACGTGTGTCTCTTCTGCAGCTCGGACTTCACGTAGGCGAGTCCAGCAATGTCAGCTGTGGCAAAGACCAAGTCGTCGATGTACACAAGGATGTAGAACGGCGGTAGAGAGGTGTCGGTGCGCAGAAACAGCGACGGGTCTGCAGTGGAGGGAGCAAACCCAAGTGCCGCCAGCGTAGTCCTCAGTGTGTCGTGCCACTCACGCGGCGCCTGGCGGAGACTGTAGACTGGACGCCGGAGACTCCACTGGGTACCAGGAGGGAAAGACCCAGTAAAGCCAGGTGGCCGACGTAGCCAAATCTCCTCGTGCAGGCTGCCCTGCAAGAAAGCAGTGCTGAAGTCGAGAGAGTGCAGCTCGTAGTCACGGTGAGCAGCAACGTGCAGCAGTACCCGAAGAGTGGTCATCTTCGGGGTGGGGGAGAAGGTCTGAAAGTAGTCAACTCCTTGCCGCTGACTGAAACCACGAGCCACGTACCGCGCCTTGAAGACAGGCGGAGAACCCGGCGGCCGCTTCACCCTGAAGATCCACATGCCACTGACGATGTTCGCCCCAGGAGGGGGAACAGCGTCAACGTAGGTGCCTGTGGACTTCCAGGAAGTCATCTCTGCATCCATAGCTGCCTGCCACTGAGAGGAGTAGGGACCCTCTATCGCCTCTGCGTAAGAGCGCGGAGTCGGGATGTCTAGTGCATCCGGGTCTCCCTCAGGGGCTAGCAGTACAGACGCGAGATGAGGTGAAGCGGCGGCCAAACACTGGAACTCCTCCTGCCTGTCCTCAAGGACGTCCGTGCCAAGGGCACACTCACCCCCGACGGACGGAGGACAGGTAGACTCAGACTCAGCGACAAGACCAGCAGCGTAGTCTAGACGACAGCGCGCAGCAAAGTCGACGAGCTCAGTCACAAGGGCAGACGCAGCAGAAGACTCGAAAGAAGGGTCAGTGACAGCAGTAGCAAGGAGACGCGTGACAGTAGGACTGGCAGCACGAAGAGAGTCCGACTCCGGGTCGGCAAGAGCAAGAAGAGAGGAAGAAGGAGGAGAAGGCAAAGGGGCACGTAGAGGAGCAGTGGACGGACGCAGAGACATCCGGTGCGTGCCAGGGACAGGAGGCGGACGCTGACGCGAACCGCGACCACTAGCGCGCGCAGTACGAACAGGCGACGCAGGACGAGACGCAGGCTCACGACGCTCAGTAAGACCTCCAGTCGGACCAGCGTAGGGAGGAGGAGCAGGCAAAGGGGAGGCAGGCTGTAGCTGTGACTGGACAGGCTGTGGACCCTCTATGGGAGGAGGAGGAGGACCAGGAGAAGGTGGAAGACCAAGAACCTGCTGCAGGAGTGGTACGAAGTACGGTCGGGGCCGCGTGGCGACGCCAGAAACAGCAGGGACAGCACCAGTACCCCCAGCAGGAGTACCCGCTCCAGCAGCACCTCCAGCAGCACCTCCAGTAGCTCCAAAACTCCCAGCAGCTCCTCTAGTAGTCCTAGAACCTCCAGCAGCACCAGGAGCACGGCCAGTCGAACCACTAGTGGTAGTCTCAGCGCCAACACCCTCAGCAGCACCAGCTCCAGGCGAACCTGCAGGCCCAGCAGCTCCAGTACTCCCGGTACGAGCACCTCCGGGACCCGCGGCAGCAGCACCCTCAGCAGCATAAGAGCCTCCAGCACCAGCAGCACGCCTCTAGCGCCGAGCAAACCACTCACGCAGCTCCTGTGAGGAGAGTGGCTCTCGGCGAGACGAAGCACCCGGAGAACCTCTAGGCGAAGAACCTCCAGGCTCACCACCCCCAGGCAAAGCACCTCCAGGCGTAGCACTTCCAGGCTCAGCACCCCCAGGCTCAGCACCCCCAGGCTCAGCACCCCCAGGCTCAGCACCCCCAGACTCAGCACCCCCAGACCCCGCACCCCCAGGCTCAGCACCCCCAGGCACAGCACCCCCAGGCTCAGCACCCTCAGCAGCACCAGAGTCACCAGTGACCTCGACAGGCTCAACCGCGTCTACCTGGGACACACCAGAAGGGGCAGGACTCTGAGGGGGGAGGGGGTCTACCGGGGGGGGACCTGGTACCAAGACGAGCGGGGGTGGGGGGAGGGACGGAGTGCGGTAGAGGAAGAGGCGGTAGTAGGGTACCGACTCGTCGAACATGACGTCCTGGGAGGACAGAACACGGCGAGAGGTGGGGTGGTAGAACTGCCACCGAGGGGTGTCGGGGGGGAACCCCAGGAAGACGCAGGGAGCAGCGCGAGGGGACAGCTTGTCCGCAGACAAGTCGCGGACAAACGCCCGAGATCCCCAGACCCAGAACGTCGACGCATCGCCAACCTTCCCCGTCCACAGCAGGGCTGGGGAGGTCTCCGGCCTGGAGACCCTGGGGTGGAGGTTGATCTGATGCGCCGCGTACCTGACAGCAAACGGCCACAGAAAATGGGGGGCAGCCGCATGCATCATAGACGTACGAGCGACGTCCATGACCATGCCAATGCGGCGCTCTGCAATCCCATTTTGCTGCGGTGAGTTCGGAAGCGTGAAGGTCTGGCGAATTCCTCGCGCACTACAGTAGGCACGCAGAAGGCCAAAGGAGAACTCTCCGCCTCTGTCCGAGTGCAGACGCAACACAGGAAAGTCCGAGCCAAAGCTCTGCCTGAGCTGGAGACGAGCTGCGCGGATCCAGTCGATCAGCACCTCAGTGACATCACCCTTGCTGTGCAAGGGGAAGACTGTGGTGTAACGCGAGTAGTCGTCCACCACCAACAGGAAGTAGCGCTCGTGACCGAGTCCACGGACGCGGGCAGGGCCCCACACGTCCATGTGAAGCGTCTGCAACGGAGCCTCTGTCGGAGGAAACTGGGAGGAGTGAGGGGCAGCCCACTGGCGCCCCTCGACACAGGGGACACAGGCAGGGCCAGGGCCCTGAGGAAGGGGAGGGAGGGACCGGGGGAGACCAGACACAAGAAGACGGGAGGCCATGCCTCTGAGCCGAAGCAGAGAGGGGTGGCCAAGGCGGTGGTGCCAGAAGAGGGTCTCGTGGGACAGACGGCGACACGAACAGGGGGCAGACTTAGGACCAGACCTGGACGCTGCAGCAAACACCTGACCAGACGAAGAGACCCTACCAGACTAAGCACCTGGAGGAGAAGCAGTGGTCAGTGTGTACAGGCTCGACCCTGGCTAACGTGTAAACGTAGCCAGGTGGCGACCCGTGCTAGCCTCTGTGCAGTGGGTCACCCGCTGACGAGCAGGAAAGAACTGGTGGACACCCGCATCCTGTAGGTCAGCACCACTCACCAGGTTCGTAGAGAACGAGGGGAGGTAAAGACCAGTCAGGGTGCCAGAGGGAGCCGCCGGACACGGGAGGACTGTGGAGAAACGAGACAGGACAGGACCCCCAGAGGGGTCAGCCAGGGACACCGCAACCGGCCGACTAAGCGGCGTGAGAGTGGTGCGGTCCCGAAAGAAAGAACGAGACGCTCCAAAGTCAAGGGTGAAGGTGTGAGAGGCCGAAGCCAACACAATACCTGAGAGTGCAGACTCACCAGTACCTGAGAGCACGGACGCACTGGCACCTAGAGCAGCAGCCTCACTGGCACCTGACGCAGCAGTACCAATGCCCGGGTCGGGCGGGAAACACCGGTAACAGTCACCCTCGTCACTAACAGTCACAGCATACATGGCAGCAAGAATAGCATCAAAGTCAAGATCAAAGATAGCTACACCAGCCCTAGACAGCTCTCCCCAGCGGGGGATCTCAGAGGCCTCCGGAAACTGCTGGCGCCAAGCGTCGGTCAGGCGGGCAAAGCAGCGGCGGGCGGTGTGGGTGCCCCCACACTGCTCACCCGCGCGGTCGCCGATGCGAAGGACGTAGGTGCAGGGACCAAACGCCCCACCACGCTGACGCTGCAAGTACCACTCACGGAGCTGCTGAGGGGCGGGGACGTTGCGAGAGCGCTGCTGCTGCTGCTGCTGCTGCTGCTTGCGCTGACCACCCCCAGTGCTGCTCCGCTGGGACAAGCCACTCCGACCACCTCCACCACCGCCACCCCCGCCTCCGCCGCCACCGCCGCCACCGCCACCCTCGCCCCCGCCGCTCGCACCGCCACCTCCACCGCCACCTCCGCCACCACCTCCGCCTCCACTGCCGCCACTAGTACCTCCACCCCCGCCACCACCTCCACCGCCACCCCCACTCCCCCCGCCGCCCCCACCTCCTCCGCCACTTGCCCCGCTAGCTCCACCCGCTCCCTTGCCCCCCTTGCCCCTGCCAGAGCGGCGCCTACCGCTGGGGGCAGACGCAGCACCGACCGACTCCAAACCAACGAGGTCGGCCGCAGCAGCAGAGGCGACAGAGGGTAACAGGGGGGAGGGAGAACACCCCTCAAAGATGGGGGTGCGAGGGTCACCACGAGAGGCCCCTACAGCGACTATACTCTTCTCAGCCGCTAGCAGGGACTTCTCAAGGAGGTCGAGAGTGAGGGTGGTGGGACAGACAGAGAGAAACTGGTCCCTAACGGCACGTAGGGACTCAGGGAGACGGGTGACTAGAAAGTAGAGAGTGATGTACATGGGAGGAGGGTTTGCGGCGCGGAAGTCAGCAGGAAGCGCAACGCGGTAGCGAGTGTCACTAGCGCGGAGGTGGGTAAAGAGGTCAGCGACTGTGGGAAAGGCAGCGAGGTCAGGGAAGAGGTACGGTAGCATGAGGCGGCTAAGCGTAGCGGAGGAAGGGGAGGAGTAGCGCGCAACTACAGCGTCGTACAAGGCCTGAGCGGTCTTGCACTGACTAAAGTGCGCACGCTCGGAGGAAGGGAGGTGTCGACGCACAGCAAGACGTGCAGCAGCATCGCGTGTGGCCCACTTGGAGCGAACAGTGGGGTCAGCATCAGCAGGAGGGGCAGGGACAGCGCCAGAGACAAAGTCAAAGAGAGAAACCTCATCTATCGCATCGCACAGTAAGTACAGCTGCAGGTCCTCGACCCAGACTGCAAAGTCAATGGCGCGACCCTCAGCATCAAAAGCCAGGACACTTGGGGGTGGCCATTATAGCAGCTGACAGTCTCACCGGGCAGGAAGAGTCGGGTAGCTCGGTAGTAGAGTAACACGGCAGTACAGCGGCTGCGCCGGGCCAGGAGCAGCAGCAGCCCCACAGGAGCAGGAGCTCGGCACCTCAGGTTGCTCGGGCGGCTCGGGCGGCTCGGGCGGTTCGGGCGACTCGGGCGGCTCGGGCGGCTCGGGCGGCTCGGGCGGCTCGGGCGGCTCGGGCGGCTCGGGCGGCTCGGGCGGCTCGGGCAGCTCGGGCGGCTCGGGCGGCGCGGGCGTCTCGCTGGCGGCGCACGGGTGACGCGCGGGCGGCTCACGGGCGGCTGGGGCGGCTCACGGGCGGCTGCACGGGCGGCTGGGGCGGCTCGCGGGCTGCTCGCGGGCGGCTCGCGGGCTGTGCATGGGCGGCGCGGGCGGCTCACGGGCGGGCGGGTGGCTTGCGGACGGGCTGCGCATGGGCGGGCGGCGCACGGGCGGGCGGCTCACGGACGGGCGGCGCACGGGCGGCGCCAGCGGCTCACGGGCGGGCTGGTGGCGCACGGGCGGGCGGCTTACGGGCGGCGGCTTCGCAGATGGCGGCGGCGCACGGGCGGCGTCTAACGGGCGGCTGCTTACGGGCGGCGGCTGACGGGCGGCGCTCACGGGCGGCGGCTGACGAGCAGCGCACGGGCGGCGGCTGACGGGCGGCGGCTCACGGGCGGCGGCTCACTGGCAGGGCGCGGGCGGCTCACGAGCGCTAGGGCGGGCGCCGGGCGTTAGGGCGCTAGGGCTGGCGCTAGGGCGGGCGCTAGGGCGGGCGCCAGGGCGGGCGCTAGGGCGCAAGGGCGGGCGCTAGGGTGGGCGCTAGGGCGCTAGGGCAGGAAAAAAAAAAAAATCGAAGTGGTGGGCCCTAAGCAAAGTCCCCACAGGGGAACCTGCTCGATACCATGAGAAGAAGTAAACGAGAGAATGAGTGAACTATGAACGAGGTGAGTACAAATAGGAAACCCTAATTGGGTTGTACCCCCTATGGGATACCCCACTATAGCCTACACAAATAAGTAAGCTATAATGTTCTGACATGGTTACGTAACACCCCAACCCGTCAACACCGACATTTCTGAACGCTATGGCCCCGGATTTGCACCTGATCCTGCAGCGGGAGACGAAGCAGTTCATCCCGAGGATCCCCTGATGAACCGTCACACCCCCAGCGGACTCCAAGTTCTGGGGCTCGTCACTGCTGTGCAAGGGACTTCAACGCCACCTGAAGAGCCTCGCTCTGTCAAGCAGGCTCTTGGGGGGGAACACAGAGAAAAGTGGCGCGAAGCCATGGAAAAGGAGTTAAAAGCGCTATCAGACCGCAACACCTGGAAGATCGTCCCTGCATCACTCGCACAAGACAGACCCATTCTCTCTGGGAAATGGGTATTCCGGATCAAAACCAACTCCGACGGAACCATCGAACGATTTAAGGCTCGATGGATCGTCCGCGGATTCGACCAAGAATTTGGTCGCGACTTCACCGAGACTTTCGCTCCAGTCAGTCGACACACTTCCCTACGCATTCTTCTACTTTTCGCCGCCGTCACATGCCGACCGGACTTATCCAACAGCGCCAGCCAGCTAGCGACCTACCTTAAACGCCCAGAACAACGTCACCTCAAGGAGCTCAACCGAGCTCTTCTCTACTTCATCTCGACGCCAACAGTTGGCCTAACATATCACAAGAGCACGACGACCGATCTAAAACTACTCGGTTACGTCGACGCTGATCACGGTGTCAGTAGAGCTACACTGTGAGATCCCCGATCGATCCTAGGGGGGGTTACAGGCGCGTTTGCCTGGGGGGTTATGGGCGCACTGACCCGCTACTGAAACAAGCCCTTTTATCCCAATGGTCTAGTGGTTGGGATTCTGACATGGTATCAGAGCGGTCTCGGGTTCGAATCCCGGTGTATGCACATGTTGGCCGTTGCCACTGTGCTCAGTCCTGGGCCTCCCAGTGTGGGGGGGTGTCAGTAGAGCTACACTGTGAGATCCCCGATCGATCCTAGGGGGGGTTACAGACGCGTTTGCCTGGGGGGTTATGGGCGCACTGACCCGCTACTGAAACAAGCCCTTTTATCCCAATGGTCTAGTGGTTGGGATTCTGACACACGCTGCTGATCGTGTCGATCGTCGCTCTCGCACCGGCTACGTCTACCGTCTCGAGCCCATCGGAACTATCTCTATCAAGAAACTAGCGTGACTTAGGAGCCATGGCTAGTGAGTTCGAGTTGAAGTAAAAAGTATCGAGAGAATGAGGGGTTTCACTATAGGTTCAAGGGTACAAATAGGCAAGAATGAAGAAAGGCAAATGGTACACCACCTAGCAGGAAACTAAGATAACTACACTAGGCTACTGTAGGCATTTATATGAAAGTATACAAATACATTTCAACAATCTCCTGGCAATCGAGTAAGCACGAACTCGTCGCACTATCATCTGCTGAAGCAGAGTATATTACTCTCTACACCGCCACCAAGGAAGGTCTGTACCTGCGCGAACTGCTGGAAGAAGCGAAAATTGCGAAGGTACCCAACTTCTCGCTTTTCTGCGACAACCAGTCCGCGATACGCATCGCGAACAAGAACGGTTTCGCCAACAGAACCAAACATATCGCACTGCGATACTTCTTCGTGAAAGACGAAATCGAGAAAGGAAAACTCCAACTGGACTACTGCCCGACCACCGAGATGGCAGCAGATTATCTCACCAAGAAGTTACCAAAGGGGAATTTCGAGTACTGCATGCTGCTTACCGGATTGGGCCACGTCACCGAAGCTGACCACGTCGACACTCCAGAAACGAAGGGGAGTGTTGGGAATATAAACGCATGACTTAGTGCGTTTCTGTAGTATCGAACCTCACCCGATACTGAAGCACAACAAAAGGGGTACGAAGTCGAAAGGGCGCGTACCACATCAAACCGCAACTGGAGGTTGCGAGCTGTAACCGCCTGGAGGTTACGTAACAGCAAGCGACGCTTCAGTGAACAGTAACCGCCTCGATAGTCGAAGCGTTACGCGTCTCGATAAACACAGCCGCTTCCTGTAATCTATCTTTCCTATATATTCCTGTATGCTCTTTGCTTTAATCAATTACTTGTTCTCACACACCAGCACAAGTACATTCACTCAAGTCTTCCGCTGTGCTACTCTAGCACCTACTAGCCTATTCTATGCAAAGATCCTACGGCTGAAATTCTCAGCCCAACAGCGGTCAGGGTCCTCGACATCAGCCATTTTTGTCTGTTTGTCTTTATTTCCATACGGATTTTTTTGGATTAATCTGATGGGCCAGTCAGAATCAGAACAGTTTTTTTTTGCACGGGGGACCCGTCTGATGCATCAGACATCCCTCGGATCCTAGCGAGGACCATGGATGCGGGGTAAGGAAAAGGAGTTTTCCTCACAATATGTAATATATTATGTTTGTATTTCTAAAAATGACAACACCAATATGGAGTACAGGGAGAGACATCAAGTTCAACGGCTAAGTTGTAGAAATCAAAGCAAAGCATAAATAATTGAGATTTATGTCAGAGCACAATCCAAAGCCTCCCAAGCACTCCACCCTATCATCCCCCACCCCCTAGTTCCCTTTCCTTCCCTTCTTCCTACTCCTCGGAGGCCCAACACACAACAGGTAACGCATCTGAACCTGCGCCTCACGATACACCACATACTCGTTCCTCTCCACGCACGGCCCTCCGCCCTTTTCTGGCGCAGTAATAAACCTGCACACACGAGCATACTCCTCTGGCCGCACTGCCTTGCTTGCCTGCATCTCCCTGTGGGAGATGATAGGCCCTGCAGGGATGCAGCAGCCGTCAGGGGTCCAGAGGCACTGGGAGAGGTCGGGGGTGGTTCTCCCGATGGCAAACGTGGAGTGGGACCCTGGCAACGCCTCCTCCATGTATGTTGCCTCTGACACCGCCTGCGATTGCCCCAGCGCCACCTCACACAGCAGCAGGCACCGCGTCTGCTTCATAGCTTGCCCTCTCCCCACCCCCTCCCCATCCTCCTCCCCGTCCTCCTCCTCATCCTCCTCCTCCTCCCAATCACGGCCGCTCCTCCAGTGCCCATGGTGGTGCTGAGCAGCGGTATCGCAGTACCCCAAGGACTTTTTAAACTGGTCCGCAAAGTAGATACCCTTGCCGAAAGCATACCCCGTCACATCGGCCTCGGGAGGAGCCACACGCAGCCCGCCGCTGAGCAGCCCACAGAAATTAGCCACAGACGACCCGTGGAACAGCAGCTGGCGGTGCGCACGGAACGGCTCTAAGAGCGCGTCAAACCGCTCCCTCTCGCCCTGCCTGCGCACCGCAAACACATCATACACCTCAATCTCCTCCCGCGAAGCCGACCGGTACACATACCGAGCCAGCACGCGCCACAGCTGGCTCTGCGGGTCCAGGCGCCGCATGTCCGTCCCCAACCCCAGGTAGCAGTAGTCTAGCGGGTGGACGGCTGCGCGCCGCCCAGCCGCCGCCTCCGCCAGCTGGCGACGCGCGCCGATGAGCATCTTGAGCGCGAGCTGGAGCTCCCCCAGGCTGGAGAGGAGCGCCTGCAGTGAGAGCAGGTCCTGGCGGGATTGGATGGACTGGATGCGGCTGCGCGTGTGCTGCGAGGACGGCACGAGCTGGTAGAACTCGTTGCTGCGCTGCACCAGTTGCTCGCTGATGCCCCGCCGCTCCGCCTGTGCTGCCCTTATCTCCTCCGCGATACGCTCCCGGGTTACCTTCCTGCTGCTGCTGCTGCCGCTGCCACCATCACCACCCTCCGTGTTGACCGCTGCCACGAGGGTGGTCTGATTCCCGCCCCCCTCTCCCCCACCTCCCTCCCCGTCACCTCCCTCGCCTCCCTCCAACTGCATCTGCACGTCCCCCCCTTCCTTCTCCCCACCCACTCCCTGCCCCTGGCCATCCTCGCCCTCCTCCACGCGGCGCCTCTTAGCTCGCTTCTTCCCTGCACCATCCAACGAGCCATCCTCAGAACCCTCCTCAACTCCATCCTCCACGGCCCCATGCTCCTCTTCCCCCTTCCCCCCTTCCACTCCCTCCTCCCCATCCTCCTCGTGCTCCTCAAACATCAACCGCTGCTGCTCCGCAACCAGCCCATCAATCTTCTTCCCCACGGCCTCATACTTGGGCACCAGCGCGCTCATCTGCTCCAGCACCGCACGCCCACGCTCCAGCGCCTCATCTGTCACGTCTCCGAACGCCAGGTACATGTCCACTGCGCCCAGGCGCCGGGCTTGCGCTCGCAGCGCTGACACGTCGCAGATGACTCGTATGAAAGACTGGATGGCCTTTGGGAGGCGGCTGGGCCCTGCCACAGCGGATGCTTCAGCGAGGGTGGTGGTAGCAGCGGGGGCAGGAGTAGCGCCGGCAGAATGCGTGGAGTTATCGCCAGTAGCAGCAGCGGGGGCGGCGACAGCAGGAGCCGTACTGCCAGGCACTGCAGTATCAGCAGCAGGAAGAGAAACAAGAGCAGGTGCAGCAGCAGCAGCAGCAACACCTTCGCCTTGCACTCCCTCTCCTCCTCCTCCTCCTCCTCCTCCTCCTTTCCTCCTTAAACCACCATGCATGTCTATCAGCTGTGCCAGAGGCAGCACCAGCTCCACCTCCTCATCCACATGCCCCTTGGGGATCTTCCTCCTCTCACTCCCCCCTTCCCCTTCTCCCTTACCATTGCCCTTCCCTGACTTCTTCTTGCTTTTTGGACGTGCCCGCACGGGAGTGTATTTCCCCACCTTGGGCTGGAACTCTCCACGATTCTGCCAGTCGTTCCCGGACTTAGCCTTGAAGATCTTCTCAAACTCCTTCACCGCCTCCTCACGGGACCCCATGGGCGTCTGCTGGTGCTCCCCCTCGTCGCCCACACGCCCCCAGCGGTTGAAGAGGATGTAAAGGTCCTGTGCGGTGCTGTGCAGTACCTGCATCTTGTAGAAGTTGTGGAATCCATACCGCCCGTACTCCACATCGGTTCGCGTCATGAGCACCGAGTAATCTCCACCTCCTCCACCGCCACCGCTGCTGCCACCGCCACCACTGCCGTCATCGGCTGGAGTACGCTTCTCTTCCCGCAGCACGACACATGTGGCACGGAGGTCCCCTGCATGCTCGTCCACCTCCGCGCCACACGCCTGCGCTGCTGCCTCCATCTTGGCGTCCCACTCTTCCCGCATCACTCTCGCATCTGCTGCCACGTCCACCACTCGCCCCTCACGCACTCCCGCACTGCCCTCTGTCAGCCACTTCTCTGCTGCCTCTAACTTTTTTTGCGCATCCTCCCGTCCTGCTGCTATCTCTGTTTCAAATATCCCTGGCAGCACAGCGCCGCCATGAGTCATCGTCACAGCACCTGTGGCACCTGATGAAGGAGCAGCTGCTGTATCCCCTGCCGCATCGCCTCCTCCCATCATCTCCGTGATAGCGTCCAGCATCACTCCTGAGGACTGAGCCCCCGCATCATACAGCACCGTGTGCCCCGCACCATCCCTCATTTCCCACCGGAACGCCACGGGTCTCGCCGCCTGACCAGCCGCATCCCCAGCCCGCTCACCCCTCTGCAGCAGCACCAGCCTGTGCAGCACCTTCAGCAGGTGAGTGTTCTCATACGACGGCTCTAACGGGCCAAATGTAGCCACTGCTGCGTGGTATGCCGACCGCGCAAGGGGGACCGGCGCCAGGTTCAGATCCACGCCTACGTGGCGGATCTCCATGCCAGGTGGCACCGTCATCTTGCTCAGCGCTGCGTTGGCAGCCTCCTCCTCTCGAGACAGCACGGGGGGGGTCCAATCCCCCCCCATGAGCACGGTAATCATGCGCAGGTCATTGCTCCTCACCGCATGCGTGAGCGCGGTTGCTCCAGTGGCGTCCCACTGGTTCGGGTTGGCTCCGAAGCGCAGCAGCAGCTCCGTCAGCCGGTGATCTTTCCGCCGCACGGCCGTCATTATGGCCGGTAGAGTGCACACCTTGCGCAGCGCCTGGGCCTCCTGTAGCACCTCCGCGCGCAGCGCCGCCCGCACCGTCTGCTGCACCACTCCGCCGCCGCCGCCGCTGCTGCCAGCCATGTCCGAAACGTCAGAGCCGCTGTCAGTGGCAAGGGCGGTCAGGTGAAGAGGCAGCTTGGCCTGGCGCCCCACGTTGGGATCGGCCCCCGCGCACAGCAGCCTGTACACATCTGGTAGCAGCACGTCGCCACTACCAGCAGCAGCAGCAGCAGCAGCAGCAGCACCATTCCCCCCTCCCTTCCTGTGCAGCACCGCACAGCCCAGCACGCGGTGCAGGGGAACAGAGCCCACGGCGTCGCATGCGTTGACAAGAGCAGGGTCGCCCCGCGGCAGCAGCCACTGGACGAGCGGCGTGATGGCGCCCGCACACGCGAGGTGCAGCGGGGTCTGGCCAAGCACGTCCCTCGTGTTCAGCAGCGCACGGATCGGGTTCTCCCCTGCTGGCCCCGTCACTCCCGGTCCCGACAGTGCAGCCTCAATGACTTGCAGAATGGTGAGCAGCCAGTTCTGGCAGAAGGAGGACTGGTGGTGCACGCGTGCCAGCTGGTGGAACACCGTCCTGCCAGACACCGGCTGCAGCGCTTGCAGCGCGGCTGGGGGCGCGCGGCGCAGGAGGGTGAGGAGCAGGGAGAAGTGGCCGCTGGCGAGGCAGTCGTGGGTGGCGGTGAGGAGGTCGACGCCGCGGTCGAGCATGAGATACGCGAGCCCGTTCCACCCCTGGTCTAGCACCACACGGAAGGTTGATGTCTTGCACGCGTCCTTGCCTCGTGCTATCTGCACACGCGCTGCTTCTAGCTGCTGCTGCTCGGAGCCTGCCCCAGTCTTCTTCACCTCCTCCGCCTCTCCCTCTGTCTTGGCATCTGCCATGGTTGCATCTTCCTCCCCGGCCCTGCCTGCTCCCTCTCCCCCGTCCTTGCTCTCCTGCCCGTCCCCACTCCCACCCTCCTCCCACTCCTCCCACTCCTCCCACTCCTCCCACACCTCCGCCGCCATACGCACACCCCCCGCCATTCCCTCCTCTTGCCCATCCACCTCCTCCTCTTCCCCGTCACTCCACCCGTCCGCCCCTTCCCCCGCACCACCCACCCCGGCAGCCATCCTCCTCTCCTGCCGCTCCACCCGTGCAACCCTTTTGAGCAGCTTACCGGGAAACTTACGATAGTTGGTGGCAGGAAGGTGAATATCCACCCCCGCATGGTCCAACAGATTGATACACACGGGTAGCTGAGCCGCAAGCAGCGCCAGCTGGAACACCCCGTTGTCGTCCTCGTCCGTGCGTGCGAGTGTGGCCCCGCGCCGCACGAGGAAATTGGTGCAGATCTGAGCGCCCGCCTCACATGCGTACATCAGCGGGGTGCGTCCGAACCGGTCCGCTGCGTCAATGACCCCCGCCACTCCTACTCCGCCACCTCCACTTGCTAACCCTGCTGTCGAGTCGGTTGCAAGGGCAGCAGCGTCGGCGGCAGCGACGGCGGCAGTGACAGCGGCACAGAGCATGCTGAGCAGCTCAATCGGCTCCTCCCCTGCCGCAGCAGCCCGATGAGACCCACCTCCCGCTGCCGCCACGTGCCGCTCTCCCAGCCGCACAAACGCGAGATGCACCACGTTGCGCCCGTCCTCGTCCCGCGCTGCCACGTCAGCGCCGGCGTCCAGGAGCTCCTTTTCCACCTCAAAGGCCTCGCTGAGGATGCCCGCCCTGCCCGCCGTGAGAGCCGACGCCTGCACCGCAAACATGAGTGGTGTGCGCTTCCTGTCGTCGCATGTGCGCACCTGCTGCTGCTGCTGCTGCTGCTGCTGCTGCTGCTGCTGCTGCTGCTGCTGCTGCTGCTGCTGCTGCTGCTGCTGCTGCTGCTGCTGCTGCTGCTGCTGCTGCTGCTGCTGCTGCTGCTGCTGCTGCTGCTCCGGTTGCTGCTGTGGCCCGTTTGCAGCCAGCAGTGCGCGCACCACTTTCACATCCACCTGCCGACCACCACCACCACCCCCTTGCTGCAGATAACACGCGAGGGCAGTGGAGCCTTTTGCAGTGCAGCGCAGAGGATCCACCCCGCCCTGCTGCAGCAGCCACGACAGCAGCCACAGAGCGTTTCCACCAGCACGAGCAGTGAGGTGCAGAGCGGTGAAGCCAAGGTTGGGCTGGGCTCTGGCTGAGATGATGGGGATGACTGCTGGGTCCACGTTTCCCCAGGTTCGCAGGCGCGGGGCGGTCTTGCTTGCATTGATGTCCTGCTGACACACTTGCAGGAAGCGAGCGAGGAAGCGCAGGAAGGACTCTTGTGTCAGTTGATACTGCTTGGCTGGATTCTTTTTTGAGGGGTCCTGGGAGGAAGATGAAGAAGCAGGAGAAGGGGAAGGAGAAGGGGAAGGAGACTTGGAGGGAGCACTGAAAGGTGAAGAAGAGGAAGGAGAGGAGGAGGAATCGCCGCTCCTTTCACCATCGCTTCCCCCTCCGTCCTCATCTTCCTCTTCCCCTTCTCCTGCCTCCTCCTCTCCCACTCCTCTCTCCGCTTCCTTGCCCATTCCCTCCTCTACCACCCCTCCCCCAACGAGCCCATCGGTGCGAGCAGCCGCGTCTGTGGCAGGGAGGAGGTTGAGCTGCAGGGCTCTCGCGATGATGGACAGGAACGCCACATCCCCCTCCTGGTTCGCCTTGCACGCCAGCTCTGCCAGCAACGGCCGCCGCTGCTGCACCTCCCCGCCTTGCTGCTGCAGTGGCTGCTGCCCGCTCTTCTGCTTCTGCTCGCCAGCAGCAGCCAGCAGCTCCAGCAGCGGCAGGGGTTCACGAGCGCCCATCACCACGGCCAGCACGTGCAGAGCAGACCCGTCTTCCTCGCACCCCGCATCCACGGGCGCCCCCGCCGCCAGCAGCCGGCGAATGCAGCGGTCACGCACAGCAGCAGGCAGGCTGGTGGCACTCGCATTAGCCATGAGAAGCGAGACTAGCGATCTCTGCACCTCCACGCTCTCCCCCGCCACCCGCAGCACCACGTGCCCCTGCACTTTCCCCACGCCCTCCTCCTGCTCAGCCTTGCTCAGCGCCTTGTCGCGCAGAGCTTCCTTCACGTCACTGCTCCTCACAATGTACCTCACAGCTCTGCGCACGCGGGCCACAGCGTGCGCGTGCACGTCGGCCCCCGCCTGCAGCAGCGCTTCCACGCACTCCACGAAATCCCTCTGCGCTGCACCCTGAGAGGACGGCCTCGCTTTGTTCTGAGGCGCATCTGGAACCGCCGCAAGCGCACCCTCAGGGGGGTCCCTCACCTGCGCCTGCTCCTGCTCCTGCTCCATGCCACTGCCTGCACCGCCACCGGCACCTTCTCCCTCACCCTCCCCCGCACCACCATCCCCCGCACCACCCTCCCCCACAGCCGCTCCCCCAGGCGCGGCTTCCCCCTGCGCGGCACGGCGGAAGGGGTTGGAGGCTTTGAGCTCGGGGTACTCGCTGTCCCTTGTTCTGCGCGCCTGCTTCATGTAGCGCTCCGCCGCGCTGTGGGGGTTCTGCAGGGTGCGCGTCACAGCGGCGGCGAGAGGCGTGACGCCTGCCTTGTTGCGCAGGTTGAGCGCGAGATGCGCCCGCACGTCTGGCTGGAGCAGCAGTCGCAGGAGGGATGCCGGCTCGCATGCGCGTAGCGCCAGGTGCAACGCCGAGTCGCCTTCCTCCTTGGTCTGCGCGTTCACCCACCCCCAGTCGAATCCCCCCTCCCCCTCTTCCACCAACCCTGCTGCCGCGGCCGCTTCTTCCGTCACCGACCGATCCACCGCAGCGCGCAGCAGCAGGGTCACGGCGGCCCGCTGCCGGCGACAGAACGCCCCCCAGCGGCGGTAATACTCGTCTAGGGTGCGCTGCACCTCTTTGTCTACCTGCTCCACTGGCTTCCGCCCCCACCACCCGCGGTACCCGTTAGCGAGATTGTTCTCAACCAACTGGGGCGCCTCGCAGCGCAGAGCCGCCAGCAGCGGCGTGACCCCGTGGCGGTCGCGGTGGGTGAGGGCGGCGCGGCAGGTGGGGCTGCGGAGGAGCGCGCGCAGCACGCGCACGTTGAGCTGCTCCGCTGCCAGCTGCAGCGCCGTGCGCCCCTCGCCATCCTCCGCATCCACGTCTGCGCCACGCGCAGAGAGAATGGCTCCAGTGATGCGCGCGTCGAGGCGGGAAATGGGGCAGAGCGATGCAAAGAGGTGCAGAGCGGTTTGGCCGTCGCGGGCGTCTTTGGTGGCGGCGGAGATGGCGTGGGAGACAAGAAAGGAGACCTGGGAGAGGCACAGGGTGGGGTCAGCCTGCTTGAGGGTCACAGCGTGGTGTAAGAGAGACTTGCCATCGCTGTCCACCGCATTCACTGCACCACTCGGCGCCACTGCAGCTGCAGCGGAGGAGGGGGAGGAGGAGGGAACCACTTGGCTCGCTTTCTCACCCCCCTTCTCTCCCTCCCCCCCTTCACCTCCCTCTGTATCCATGTGCCCGTCAGCAGCATCAGCCGCAGCAGCAGCAGCAGCAGCAGCAGCAGCAGCAGCAGCAGCAGCAGCAGCAGCGGCAGCGGCAGCAGCGGCAGAGGCAGCGGCAGCAGGGGAGGAGAGGAGGGCGGTGGCGATGCCCATGTGGCCCTTGAGCACGGCCAGAAACAGCCCCGACAGCTTCCACATGTTGAGCCGATCACGGTCCGCACCCGCTGCTAGTAGGAGTTCTAACGCGCCCTTGCACCCGTACGCACACGCGTAGTGCAGCGCCGTGTTGCTACTCGAGTCCGCGCTGTCCGCGGGGACTCCGCGGCGCAGGAGAGCGCGGAGAACGGAAAACTGCGAGTTGCGTGCCGCGACGACCAGGGCGTTGCGCCCGAGCTTGTCCGGCGCCAGCAGCAGCTTCACCACGCGCGCCTCCCCATCGCTCCCCGCCGCCACGAGCGATAGAACCCTCTCCACAGCCCCCTCCAGTCCCAGCGCAGAGAGAATGTGCAGCGTGGTGAGCTTCTTGTCCTTGGAGGGTACAAGCGGGTCTCCCCCCCCACGGATGAGAAGCTCTATGATGTCTGCGGCCACGGTGGGTGGCATGTACAGGCACTCCCATGCTGTCACATGCAGGAGAGTCTGCGGCGTGCGCTTGTCCAGGGGAGTGTTGAGCACTAGGTCTGCTATACTCACGGGAGCTCCAGCCTTGCCTCTCCTTGCTTTTCCCCCTCTTGCCTCCTCCCCGTCTTCTTCCTCCTCGTCCGCCGCAGCAGCGCCGCCGCCACCGCCGCTGCTGCCTCCCGCAGCAGCCGGCTTGGGCAGCAGCAGGCGGGCGGTGTGCGGGCGCCCAAACGCCAGCGCGCGGCGCAGAGGCGTGTGGCCCTGGCGGTCCTTCTCGTCCGCGCTCACCCCCTGGCTCACCAGCCACTCGAGACACGCCGCGCTCCCCGCCGCCACCGCCGCGAAGTGGATGGGTTTCCGCCCCTTGCCGTCCGTCACATGCAGCGCCAGCGGCCCCGCGCGCGCCACCAGCTGCTTCAACACGCGCGCGTCCGGCTGTAGCGCCGCCAGGTGCACAGGAGTCACCTGCTGGTTGCCCCACCCCGCGTGTTTCAGCACCGAAATCCCCCGCACGTCCGCGCCCAGCTTCCCATCCGCGGGTCCCACGGCGAACTCATGCACTGCGTTGAAACCGTAGCTCGAGTCCCCGCTGCCGTCCGCGCCGCGGCACAGCTTCAGCAGGTGCGCCGCGGCGGGGAGATTCCCCGCCTCCGCGGCCTCGTAGACCAGCCCGCTCCCCGCGAGCTCCAGGCAGATCGCGAGGCGCGACGGCACGGGGTGCGCGGGGTCGCGCGGCTTGAGATACCCGGGCGCGGAGGGGTCGGGGGTAGCCGCCATCATCTGCAGCGCGGCGACGGACGAGCGCTGCGCGGCGAATGAGAAGTAGTCGCGGAAGGAGTCGGAGCGCGGGAGCGGGTCGCTAAGAAACGCGTTGTTGCCCTCCTTGCCGCCGCGGCTGGCCTCGAGCTGGCGCGTGGCGGAACCCAGCATGTAGAACGACTTGGTGCCCGTGCCGATGCTCGCCAGGGAGCTCAACGGGAGTCGCGCCCGGGCAGTTACCACGCGGCTCTCCTCCGGTTTCTCTGCCTTCTCTGCTGCGCTTGGCGTGTCCTTCGCTGCCTTGCGCTTCTCGCCAGCCTTCGCCTTCGCTTCTCCCTTGCCGTCCTCCTTCCCTTTCCCCTTCCTCCCCCTGCCGTGCTTCTTGCGCCTCGTGCCCACCTGTGCCTCTTCCTCCTCCTCTTCTTCTGCTTCCTCCTCCTCCTCCATCTCCGTGCCACCTCCCTCTTCCCCAGCCTCCTCCGTCCCCTCACCCTCCTCCCCCCCCTCCTCCCTTTCCTCCTCATCCTCATCATCACTCACTACCGCGTCCTCCCCCTCTTCCCCCGCGCCTCCCCCGCCCGATTGCCCCAGCAGCCCGTTCGCCTCCTGCCTGTCGCGGTCCAGAAGAAGCATGCGCGCCAGCCGCACCTCCCCCGCCAGCAGCGCCGCGCGCAGCGGGTCCACGTGGCACTCCGCGGACCACTCCAGGTGCGGGTCCGCCACTTTCGCGCGCGCGGAGCGCGCCAGCACGGCGGCCAGCAGCGCCGCGCTGCGCGTGCGCACCGCGCGAAACGCCTCGCGGCTCGCGCAGCGGGTGCAGCAGGAGGAATCGACGGAGGCAGGGCGCACATGCGCCATGGGATCATGCATCGCGTTCAATGCGCGGAGATGCGTCGGAGACACATCCACGAGTTTCATCTTCCCTCGCCCGAGAAACTTCTTCTCCGCTTTTGCCGCCTTCGCTGCCTTTACAACTTTCAGCGCTCGCCCTGCCTTTACCTTCACTCCCCCCCTGACCCTCACCAGCGCGCCAGCACCCCCCGCCGCTCGACCTCGCGCTCGCTTCCTTCCCTTGCCCGGCTTCTCGCCCTCCGCTTCCTCCTCCGCGTCTTCCCCTTCCTCAACTTCCTCGTCCTCCTCCCCCTCCTTGTCGTCGTCCTCCTCCTCGTCCGACGAGTCCCCGGATCTACCAGCTCTGCGCGCGGCGGGCGAGCGCCACTCCGCCACTTGGTAGAAGGCGGGAGACTTGTGCGCGCGCAGGCTCCTCCGCCGCCCACCACTTTCGCCCACCGCTGTGACCACTTCCGCCACTTCTGCCACTTCCGCGACCTCCGCCACTTCCGCCTCTTCCGCCTCTTCCGCCACTTCCGCCACCTCCTCCACCTCCTCCTCGGTTTCCTCCGCCAGGGCATCGCGCCTCGCTCGCTTGCGAGGCTCCGATTTTGGCGCCGTCTTCGCCGCCGCAGGCGTGGCGGCTTTGCGCGTCGCCCGAGCCTTCCCTGCGGATGCGACAGCAGAGCTCGATGTGCGCGCGCCATTGGTCTGAGCGGCCTGCCGGCGATCCGCGGACCTTCTGGTGGGGGTCGCCTTGGCCGGGGTCGTCTTGGCCGGGGTCTCTTTTCCCGGGGTCGACCTGCCAGGAGTCGACTTGCCTGGGGTAGCTTTGGTCGGAACCTTCTTCGCGGGAGTCCTGGGTGTCTTGGCGGGAGTCTTCCCCGCCCCCGCCCTCGTCCTTCCCGCGCTGCGCGCTGCTAACGCCGTCGCGGCTTTCCGCAGACCGGAGCGACTCGCCGCGGAGGCTTTCAGGGGGACGGTGCGGCGCACCGCCCTGAGCTTGCTTGCTGCTGCCGCAGATGCCGCAGCGCGCCTTTGGAGCGACGGACGCGGCCTCGCCATGCTTGCGGCGGCACCGCCCAGTATTCTTCTCTCGGCCTCGAGTCTTCTTTTCTCTGCACCGCCGGCTGCGCTGGCTGCGTGGACAGTGGCGGTGTGGGGATTCGCAGACAGCGACGACGGCGGCTGCAACGCGCCGCTTCCTTAGACCACTGGGCAAAACGGGTGTTAACAAGCGGTGGCGGGTCGACGGGCCGCAAGTGGTGGCGGCTGCAGCGGCGACGGCGTGCTATGTGGGGTGTTGGATGGGCCGCGCAAAGGAACACGGGCAGGAGAATGCGGACAGGAGAATGCTGTCTCGAGCCGCGAAACAGGATGGCGAGTGAGTGAGTGGCTGGGAGATGAAGCGAAGCGCAAGGGGGCGAGGAATGCGTGGGAGGGCACAGCGAAGTGTGAGAGAGGGGAGGCTATGAGGCCGCGACGAGAGGCCGCCGGACAGGTGAGGAGCAAGGGAAGGTGGGCGGCGGGTTTGGCGGGCGAGAGTCCACCCAGTCAAAGGTCCCTCCAGGCTAGAAAAGGAGCCTGGAGGGTGGGAGTAGGAGACGGGAGGGGACTAAATGTTATCATAGGCTGAAGTAGCTGATGGTGGAAATGGCTGGCAAGGCTGATCTGAAAATGTGAAATTGCTTTGAGATTGAAGATTGGAAGGCAGAAGTAAAAGAAATTGTTGCCATTGCATTCCATGCATCCCCGTCTTGCCCAGCGACCCGAATTCACGTCGGGGCCCAAAAGTTCCCTGTTACGCTGAGACCGCACAGAAACGCTATGTAGAGCTTATCAACCTCGCTAAACCCTTTTCAAAAGACGTGAAGACTTCCCTAAAAGGGTCCCAGAAGATGCGTCAACAAAACGTCGAAATTGGGGACGCGGGAAAAAAAAAATGGAGAAGAGTCAACAACACGGTTCACTGCGGTGAAGGGATAAAACCGAACTCTACCGAGAGGAAACCTTCGAAATCTCGAATTGAGCACTGCATCCGTACTGTACCAGGTCGGAGGAGGGAACCCCACCCCGCCTTTCATCAGGTGTTGGCTTCACCGGGCAACCTGTGGGAATGAATTGAAAGAAGCAGGAACGGAAGAATCACGCGACTTGACGGTTTTCGGATTTGTGTTGATCCTGTCGACCACTCGTGCACCACGTCAGCACTATTTTGAATTCCGAAAATCCGACCGACCCTACAACATATTTCGCAGTATAGTTCAAATATTAGTGGTTGGGAGTAGGTGTGTCACTACAGGTACGTAACTTTACGGGAATGATGTGGCTAGTGCTCTTTAACTTCCCGCATGATATGATTTTATCGTGGTGTATGTCTGCACAGTAAATACGCCGGTGTCCTGAAGGTAGTGGTTTAGATATTGCAATTTGGTCCTTTTCGCAGTCAATGTCACCTCTGTTTCTGCTCGTCGCCTTGTTCAAATACACTGATACAGAACGGCATGCCTAATCCCTATCGCGGAAAGAATCTGTCAAAGAGCCTGTGTGAAGAAACCCGATCAGTAGTCAATCCTTAGGAAGGAAGGATCGAAACCACTGTGAAGGGTTCATGCATGCGTCCTAAACCGTGGTGAATGCTCGTAAAGTGTTGTTGCTGTGTTATTCGTGGTTGATCTGACAACCGTGAATAGCGCGGGAAAAACGCCCACAACCCCATCAGAGGGCAACTTGTCCTGAAACGTTCTAGTTGCTAAGGCCAACAGATATGCGTAATCGTTGTAGGCATATTGCACCAACTGACACGCGTAATTATACTATGCAAAACGCGACAGAATCTACCACCCACAAACCTACGAATTTCGAGAAACCCTAATACAGTATTAATATTTGCAACAGAGTGACCAATTCATGCGCGCAAGTGTAGAAAAAGGGTCGGTCGATCAGATTTTTGGAATTCAAAATAGTGCTGACGTGGTCCACGAGTGGTTGACAGGATTAACACAAATCCGAAAACCGTCGAGTCGCATGATTTTTCCAACATGAACAGAAAGGTGCGATGTAGGGCAATAAATTCGCCGGCTTTATTGCGCGACCGACAGTTTTTGCATTTGTATCAATCTTGTCGACCACTCGTGCAACACGTAAGTACTATTTGGAATTCCCTAAATCCGATTAACCGACCCTTTTTCTACACTTGAAAATATGAAGTGGTCACTCTGTCGCAATTATTGGTATTGCTATAGGGTTTCTCAAATTTAGTAGGTTGGTATGGGGTAGATTATGTCGGGATATGCATACAATGATTACGCGTGCCTGAATATCCCAGCGGAAATGATTCGTCAAGCCTGAAAACCCATTGATAACTTGACGACATGCTGCCCCGGGCAGAACAAATCTAAAACCCTATCGGATGGCATGCCATCCTAGGGAGGCATCAACCGTAAAGGCTATACCCCGAATTATACAACGAAGTCAACAAAAAAATTGTAGGTTCGGAAAACCCCAGAAGGAGGTTTGGTGGGAAAATCGAGAACCAATCGCGTCAAAAACCCACTCAAAACCTTTGACCAATCACGTAAAAGTGGTGACAGTTTTGGGGCCGACATGGTAATTTTGGATGTGTCCTTTGAATCTATGCCTCCCTCTGTTGAGGGTTGATGCCTCCCTAACCGGATGCATGCCCAAATGGGTTATAGTTTTTTTGCCCACGGGCAGCCAGCTCCCTCAGGTGGACTCGCTTGTCCGCTAAGATATATTTGGAGCTAACCTATAGAAGTACGAGAAAGTTACTTACTGTAGTTACACAACAATTACTAACCTAGTAACGTTTCTCCTATACCGCGTAATAATTTGTAGGGTCGATCGGATTTAGGGAATTCAAAATAGTGCTTACGTGGTGCATGGGTGGACAACAAAATCAACACAGATTCGAAAAACGTTGAGTCGCGCAATAAAGCCTGATCCGCTAGTGCAGCAAGGTTTCCCGTCAAAGTCGGCAAATTCAGGGCAGGAGACCCAGTCGGAAGGCTCAAATGCAAGCGTTTCTGACTGGGGTCTTCTGTTTCGATTTGCGATGAGTGGCTACAAAAAAATTATTGGGTTTTTATACGGGCCGTCACAAAACATTTCGGAGTTATCACGAGCAGTCATATGTTCCACCAAATCTATCACGGACCGTCACAAAATCTGCCAAATCTATCACGAACCATCACACGGGTATCACCCGCCGTCACTCAAAGGCACTAATTTCTATCACGGGTAGTCACACTCGAAACTTTGCTATCACAGATGAACCCTCTCATTATTTCGTTGACCCGCCCTGAAACACTGTACAGATTTAGGGACTACATTTCAGATTGCTGGCTTTTGTTCTGTATACGCGGCCATTTTGGGTGCAAAGATATCTGGTTACTTTCGAATCGACGTAACACACTCTTGTTTTAAAAAAAATATGAAAGAATTCGAACGTATATATGTATACATTGCTAGAGTTCACAATTCACTGAATCTGCCTACATGTTTATCAAAATGCTAAAAAATCCATAACTTGGAACGCAAAATTTCTATTTCTTCATACAGATGATGATATAAATTGTGCGTTCCAAGTTATGGATTGTTTAGCATTTTGATAAACATGTAGGCGGATTCAGTGAATTGTGAACTCTAGCAATGTATACATATATGCGTTCGAATTCTTTCATAAATTTTTAAAACAAAAGTGTGTCACGTCGACTCGAAAGTAACCAGGTATCTTTGCACCCAAAATGGTCGCGTATACATGACAAAAGCCAGCAATCCGAAATATAGTCCGCAAATCTGTACATTGTTCTGAGGGCGGGTCAACGAAATGATGAGAGGGTTCATCTGTGATAGCAAAGTTTCGAGTGTGACTACCCGTGATAGAAATTAGTGCCTTTGAGTGACGGCGGGTGATACCCGTGTGATGGTTCGTGATAGATTTGGCAGATTTTGTGACCGTCCGTGATATATTTGGCGGAACATATGACTGCTCGTGATAACTCCAAAATGTTCTGTGACGGCCCGTATAAAAACCCAAAATTATTGCGAGACATGTCTCTCGCTAAGCTTTTCTGTATTTCTTTACACTTCTTTTCTGGATCTGCACTCCGCTCAAATTTACCTTCCATTCCGCGGTTCCGCACGCCAACAGAACTTTGTGTTCGGTCAGAGTGTCGTGGGCAGTGGAACTGCTTCTGTCTAGTTCGTGTCACTGTTTGGTTGAAGGGCAATTTGATTGGTCAGTGGGCCCCGAACTTTGCGGAAGCAGGCTCGGCAAACCGATAACGCAAGCAGGTTTGGTTTGCTGCAGAGCTGAGTGCGCTGCGACAATTGCACCTGATTCATCGATCACAGACCACAGTCTCACTACAGCCTGTTTTTCGCCATAGTGGACCTCGGTACACTAGATTTTGTAGAGGTATAACTATGTTTGAGTTGCGCCAGCGCGTTAATGAATCACCCATCAAATCATAATTACCCACAAATTCACTGAGAGGCCTCAACCTCAACGGTTCACTGTATTGAATGTTATGTGATATGATATCCAATGATCTGCTAGTATACTTAAAGAAACACAATCTTGCGTACATGCTAAAACATGCATTCTTAAACGGAGTTCGTTCATTTGCTGAACTGCAACAATTCTGATCAACTTTTAGCCATCAAGCAAATCTATATTAGAGTGGAAATTTCACGAGGACACTAAAATTTCAGAGCCGGGGTGCTTGTAATATGAAAATGCTTTCATATGAGCAAACAACCAGGCCCCTATATTTGTTTTGAGGCGCTCTGATCGATCAGTGTACAACCCTCTTGGAACTCTGTCTGTCAGAGGTGCCTCCGAATTTAGTCTGAAAATTCAGACAAGCACAACTTTTTATGTCTGAACTGTCAGAGTTACCTTCAATTTTTAAGAGGATGATGCAGGCATATTTATAATAACATTGAAGTTGATTACAACATACCAATGCAACTGTGTGTCAGAATCCCAGCCACTAGACCACTGAGATAAAAGGGCTTGTTTGTGTAGCGGGTAAGTGCGC